CTGTGTGTGGGTGCAGGAGGGGGGGATGGGGCCCCCCCCCGCCTGGAGGCTGGTGGGTCCTGCTCCCTCGCCCCTTCCTGTGCCTGTGGAGGAACTTGTGGGATGAGCACTCCCCCGCCCGGAGGCTAGAGGCTGGCGGCTGCGCTGGAACCTGGGGTTGTGAGTGGCTAATCCCTGCCCCCCAGCACCGTAAATATACCCCTAGCAAATATACCCCCAGTGCAGAAAAGTCTTGTATACCCTGCAGGTTATACTCGTGCGCAGGGTATACAAGATTTTTTTTTTTACTCAAATAGAAAAAACCGCGGGGTATATTTCGGTGCGTGGGATATTCAGGTGCGGGTTATAATTGCTAAATTACGGTAGTAAAACTGTCCTATCCTGGGAGAGCATCTTGGTTACTACAATCTTGTGGCCCACTGATATGAAGGAGGGCCCTTCTGCATCCCAATCAGTAGTCAAGGTTTCCCATTGCTGCACTAGGTACTGGATTGGAGCCCAAGTTCCCTGTAAGCCGTGTTGCTGTCCAAGGAAGCCACATAGATCAGGGACCTGCAGCAGCTGGAGGAGGGCCACCCCATCCTAACCTGCCCTCCAATCTACTGTGGCTACTGGCCCCAACCAGGCTCTTGTCATGGTGGCCCTGGCCCCTCTTCCCCCCCCCCCCCGCCCCCCCCCCCCCCCCACCTCACGTGCTGCTGTGGGGATAGAGAGCTCGGAGGGGAGTCCTATCTCCTTACACCCCTGTACCTCAACTCTCTGCCCCAGGCCTGAGCCTGCTCCTACACTACAAATCCTTTGGTCCCACCCCCGCCACATGAATTTTGTTGTGTGCACCAATAAGGAGGTGAGGTGTTGCACATCAGCTCCTCATTGGTGCACATAACAAAATTCATTCCACCCAGAGATGGGAAAAATTAGAGGGAACGCTGTATGTACAGTGGATAGCACAATGTTTCCTGATCCATTATTGCAGTACAGATAATAGTGAGATGAGGTCTTCCTGCCCTACAGAGTGAAATAAAGTTGCTGTTTCTTACTCATTTTCCACACTTGTTTTGCTCAGTAACAGATTGCTGTTTTAATCTTGTTGATGCTGCTGGTTTGGGTCACAACCACCAGATACTGATAGGAGACCCCAAACAAAGGAGAGGAAAATGCAGCAAAGAAAACAGAGGGCTCTGGGCGGGTCTGTGTGTGTGGGTAAATGATTAAGCAAATATTTTATTTTTAGTGTGTGTTTTTTAAATTGAGGTATTGCACAACTTTTACTTGGAAAATTATGAGGTCTATGGAAGATTGGTTGTGTAGTGCAATGGTTCTCAGCCAGGGCTATGAGTACCCCCTGGGTGTGTCTAAACTACACCCCATTGTCAACACAGGGATGCAGATTAGGCACTTCGAAAGGTCAAATGAGCCCAGGATTTAAATATCCCGGGCTTCATTTGCATACTCACGTTCAGGCGCTGTGTCGATCATGTGCCCTTTCGAAAGTGAAGTCTAGCCACGGCTCTGCCTACAGCGAGGAGCTTTTTCAGCAGATCCTGTACTCCTCATTTTTTAAGGATATTTAAATCCTGGGCTCATTTGCACTTTCGAAGTGCCTAATCTGCATTCCTCTGTCTGCAGAGGGATGTAATTTAGACACACCCCCTGAGTCCATGTGAACTTACCTACATTTTAGCCTAGTTATACAACAGGCTATATAAAAAGCACTGGGAGAGTCAGTACAAACTAAAATTTCATACAGTGAGTTGTTTGAGCTGTTTTATGTGCTTTACACAACATTATAAGTACAATATTTATAAAATACATCAATTGGAATATAATTACATGATAAAAATGAGAAAGCAATCATTTTTTCAGTTATATTGTGCTGACACTTTTTTTTTTGTCTGATTGTGTAAGCAAGTGGTTTTTCAGGGAGATGAAGTTTGTATGAAAGGCAAATCAGCTCCCTGAAAGGGTATACTGATTTGGGAAGGTTAAGGACCACCCAACTAGTGGGTATGTTGTTTCTGTCTGTGTGTTCCACTTGCAGAAATAGAACTAGCAATCTTGTTTGAGAGGTAAGTTAATATGTTGCGTTTATTGTAAATGCAAAATTCATTTCCTGTCCCTAGATAACAAAATTATCCACCACACACACACAGTTCTACAGATAGGATATGATATGGTTCACTGGTCACGTGGTTTAGACATGAGGAGGGGAGCAGTGTTGTGTTAGCGTGCACCAGTGTTGCTGGAAGATGATCGTAGAACCAAAATACCCAATTCTGTATATTTACATCTATTTTATTATATGTTCTAGTCCGTAGATACTGTTCTGTCCCACTACCACAGGGCACAGTATAATGAGAAGTCATCAGTTAAATTTTCTTTTCTTGATGAGGCTTTTGTGTTTCTCTTTCTTAGGTGGATTGTTTTGTAGGGCTGGCTCCCATTGTTCTTCTGTCATCAAGGTGTGGTGCTGGCAGCTGGTCACAAGGGCTGGCTTCAGGGACTGATTCTCTCAGACACAGGCTTCAAATGAGATTGTGTAGAGTTAGGTGTGTATATATGCAGAGTTAAGAAAGTACAAAGTTTAAAATGGGGCTTCAATTACAATAAGGAGTCACTTGAGTTAAAATGTGTTAAAAAGGAATTACAATAACACATTCTTCAAAGGCAGTTTTTAACACATTAATTCAAAAGTAACCAACACTGCTTCACTTATAAAATCCTGTTAATTAAAAACTGGGCTGCAATTAATGAGGTTATATACTGGCACATTGCTAAGAACATAAGAATGGCCATATTGGAGCAGACCAATGGTCCATCTAGCCTAGTATCCTGTCTGCCAACAGTGGCCCCAGAGGGAGGGAATACAACAGGTAATCTCTCTCCTGTCATTCATTTCCAGATAAACAGAGGCTAGGGACACCATTCCTACCCATCTTCACTAATAGCCATTGATGGACGTAACCTCCATGAATCTATCTAGCTCTTTTTTTAAACCCTGTTCAAGTCTTAGCCTTCACCATGTCCTCTGGCAAGGAGTTTCAGAGGTTCATTGTGCGCTGAGTGAAGAAAAATCGTCCTTCTGTTTGTTTTAAATCTGCTGCCTACTAATTTCATTTGGTGACCCCCTCTTTCTTATATTGTGGGAACTAGTAAATAGCTTTTCCTTATTCACTTTTTCCATATCAGTCATTATTTTATAGACTTCTATCATATTCTCCCCCCTTAGTCTCCTCTCTTCTAAGCTGAAAAGACCAAATATATTTTTAATCGTTCTTCATATGGGACCGGTGCCAAACCCATAATCATTTTTGTTTGTCTTTTTCTGAACCTTTTCCAATGCCAGTATATCTTTTGAGATGAAACAACCTCATCTGTACGCAGTATTCAAGATGTGGGCATACCATGGTTTTATATAGAGACAATAAGATAATCTCTGTCTTATTTTCTGTCCCCTTTTTAATTATTCCTAACAGTCTATTTGCTTTTCTGACTGCCACTGCATATTGAGTGTATGCTTTCAGAGAACTATCCACAATGACTCCCAAGATCTCTCTCTTGAGTTGTTGTAGTTAAATTTGTCCCCATCATATTGTATGTATAGTTGGGATTATTTTTTCCAGTGCGCATTTTTACATTTATCAACATTAAATTTAATTTGCCATTTTGCTGCCCAGTCACTTAGTTTGGTGAGATCTTTTTGAAGCTTTTCGCAGTCTGCTTTGGTCTTAACTATCTTGAGCAGTTTGGTATCATGTGCAAATTTTGCCACCTCACTGTTTACCCCTTTCTCTAGATCATTTATAAATAAGTGGAATAGGATCGATTCTAGGACAGACTCTTGAGGGATCCCACTAGTTTCCTCTCTCCACACTGAAAGTTTACCATTTATTCCTACCCTTTGTTTTCTGTGTTTTTAACCAGTTATCAATAGATGAACAGATGTACATGTTATCCCATGACAACTTACTTTATTTAAGAGCCTTGTCAAAGGCTTTCTGGAAATCTAAGTATAGTATACCTACTGGATCCTCTTGTCCACATGTTTGTTGACTCCCTCAGAGAACTCTAATAAGGCATGATTTCCCTTTACAGAAACCACGTTGACTTTTCCCCAAGAAGTTATATTCATCTATATGTCTTACAATTTTATGTGTTACTATAGTTTCAACTCATTTGCCCAGCACTGACATTAGACTTATTGGTCTGTAATTGCCAGGATCAACTCTAGAGCCCCTTCTCAATATTGGTGTCACGTTGGCTATCTTCCATTCATTAGGTATGGAAGCCAATGTAAAGGATAGGTTACAAACCACAGTTAATAGTTCTACAATTTCCCATTTGAGTTTTCAGAGCTCTTGGGTGAATGCCATCTGGTTCCAGTGATTAGTTACTGTTAAGTTTATCAATTTGTTCCAAAACCACCTCTAATGACACCTCAGTCTGGGACAATTCCTCAGATTTGTCACCTAAAAAGAATGGCTGAGGTTTGGGAATCTCCCCAACATCCTCAGCTGTGAAGACTGAAGCAAAGAATTCATTTAGCTGCAGTGACTTTATCATCTTGGAGTGCTCCTTTAGAATCTCAGTCATCCAGGGGCCCCACTGATTGTTTAGCAGACTTCCTGTTTCTTATGTACTTAAAAAACATTTTGCTATTACTTTGTGAGTTTTTGGCTAGCTGTTGTTCAAACTCCTTTTTGGTTTTTCTTGTTATATTTTTACACTTTGTCAAATAAAGTTTATGGTACTGTCTATTTTCCTCACTAGGATTTGACTTCTACTTTTTAAAAGATGTCTTTTTATATGTCACTGCTTCTTTTAGTTGGCTGTTAAACCACGATGGTACTTTTTTCGTTCTCATTCTGTGTTTTTAATTTGGGGTATACATTTAAGTTGGGCCTCCATTATGTTGTCTTTAAAAACTCTCCATGCATCTTGCAGAGATTTTACTTTTGTTACTGTACCTTTTAATTTCTGTTTGACTAACTTCCTCATTTTTGTATAGTTCCCCTTTCTGAAATTAAATGCTACAGTGTTGGGCTGCTGAGGTGTTTTTCCCTCCACAGGGATGTTACACTTTACCTTATGGTCACTATTTCCAAGTGGTCCAGTTATATTTACCTCTTGGACCAGATCCTGTGCTCCACTTAGGACTAAATCAAGAATAGCTCTCCCCTTGTGTTCCAGAACCAACTGCTTCAAGAAGCATTAGTTTAAGGTATCAAGAAATGTTATCTCTGCATCCTGTCCTAAGGTGACATGTACCCAGTCAGTACGGTGATAGTTGAAGTCCCCCACTATTATTGAGTTTTTTATTTTGATAGACTCTCTAATCTCCCTTAGCATTTCATATTCACTATCGCTGTCTCCTGATCAGGTGGTTGATAATACAGTAGACTTCCGATAATCTGGAACCATTGGGACCTAGGTGGTGCCGGATTATCGGATATATCGGACTATCAGGAGGTACTATAAGACGGGTTTTTATATATATAATACACACACACACACACACACACACACACAGTATATTAAGTGTTTTAACCCTTTTTGTTGTAGCACAAACACTGTCCAGCGTCACACAATGCCAGTTGCAGAGTGACTCGGTCCTGTCTGGTTTTGCTTGGCTCAGCTGCTGCTGCCACCTTGTGACTCTTTCTTTACCGAAGCTCATGCACTAGGCTTTTGCCATTTTGATGCTGGACTATCGGGAGTGCTGTACAATTGGATGCCGGACTATTGGAGTTTTACTGTATATCCCTACTACTATATTCTTATTACTGGCGCATGGAATTACTATTCATAAAGATTCTATGGAACATCTTGGCTCACTTAAGATTTTTGCTGCATTTGATTCTACATTTTCTTGCACTTATAGTACCACTTCCCCACCAGCACAACCTGTTCTGTTCTTCCGATATATTTTGTACTTTGGTATGATATAATTCATGCCATCATTTGTTCCCTGGTAGATATTTCATTAAAAGAGTGATTTCATTCTTCAGCCCGCCATGAGCACATGGGCTCCTTGCATCCTTGTAGTCCAGGCATGTCCAAAGTCCGGCCCGCAGGCCAGTTGCAGCCCGTGTTCCGGTTTAATACAGCCCCACGGGTAATTTGGCAATATCTATCTTTTATGGCCCCCAATGAATCCATATGTATTGAGATGAATACATTGTAAAATCTCAGTTAAAGTCAGTTGGTCTAAATCAGTTATAAATATATTTGGACACAACATGTATACTTGGTGTTATGTTCCTGTTCATATTTTTTGAACTTAAAAGTTGACAGACAACCTTTATTACCAATAATATGTAATGTACTTTACAATGTTCCTGACATATATTTCAGCTTCCTGGATTTTTTTTTCATCTGGCCTTCAGATATGAAAGGCAGAGTGATTTAACACCTGTTTAGATTTGTCATCCATGTGACGAAATGAAAAGTATGCCGTTTGCAATAAACTTTGCATAAAATAGTTAATTTGCGTTTAATTTTAATGGTTCAAAGAATGTCAGGCAAAATGGTCGGCCCTCACGCATGTTCACTTCATAAAATCTGGCCCTCTTTGAAAAAAGTTTGGACACCCCTGTCGTAGTCTGTTCCAACAGCTCCCTGTGTGCCAGCCTCCCTCCATTTCAGGAATGTTCTGCGGCGACTCCTCCATCATGCTAGAGCTCTGTGTGCCTTCCTTTATGTGTAGCTTTCTGCCTGCTTTCTCTTCCTCCCAATATTTTTCTTGTCTTTCTTTCTTGGAAAATAAGTCCTTTTGGATATCAACACTGTATTGTATTGGGAGGTTCAGTAGAGAAAGGAGCTATTGTTACAGGGGAAGACATTAATGGCTGCTACCAATTGATTCTTTATTTTACAGAATAAGATTGTCCCTCTTTTCCTCTTCCCTTCCACCATTTTTTTAACCAAATTATCAAAGTAGCATGATTCTATTCAGATGTGGCATTCAAAGGTTAACATATTACAAAGAGAGAAATGCTGTTGAGTGAACAATCTCACTTTGCTTTTGATTGGTGTAAAGTCTGATTTCTCTTTTCCCCCCAGAACAATCCATTTTTTATCAGTGGCATATTGAGTATTGGAACCAGAATAGAAAACGTAAGTTATCTACAAAGGTTTTTTTAAAGTATAGATATATATATGGCTTTTCCATTTGTCTTCAGTATTTCTTTTGTACATATTCACAAGGTACATGGGTATGTAACAGTTAGATTACCTGATATAAGTAGTCTCATTTTCTTAGTCTACCAGTTCTGAAGTTTTGGTGCATGGATGATATTTTTCTTGATATAACTTTCTTTTAACCCACACAGATTGGAGAAACTGGAAAGTTACTTGAACATTTTAAAAAAATAGTAAAAATTTGCTTTATACAGGTTGGACCTCCCTGGTCTGGCATCCTCCGGACCTGAACAGTCGTGGACAATGGAGTTTGCTTGACCAGGGAAGGTCTGGGAGGGGGATGTGCCAGCCTCCCCACTGGGCTCCTCTCCCCAGCCTCCCTAACCCATGAGCTGTGGCAGCCCTGCCATCTCACTGGAGTTTGCAGCAGTTCTAATAGAGCTCAAAGCAGTCCCCTGGCCCAGCTGGAGCATGCGATAGCTTGTCTAGCTGTGGGCTCCATTACTCCATGAACTTTGGCCCCCCTTTTCCTCCAGATTCCCTGACCTGCTGACTGTGGGCCTTGGTTCCCTGCAGCATCTGGTGGACTCCACTTCAAGTCACCAGCAACCTCTGCTGCTGGGGCTCTCTAGTTTTGCAATATCTGTGGTGCTTCCAGATGATGCCAGACCGGAGTATCAGACCACAGAAGTTCAACCTGTAGTTTGCCATTTTGAAGACCATATCATAGCCTCTTTTAATAATGGGAGGAATAAATCAGCTGTGACTTGTTACTGGATAATTTACTTCTTGTATTTTTATTTAATTTAAATAGCATTTTGTCTTGATGGACATGCATTTAATATAAAATAATACTCTACATTCACAAAATCTGTTTTAAAACACTGATAGAAGGTTCACTTCTTTATGAAAAAATGCTTTGGAATATGCTTTGACAACTCATGCTGTGCTGGACACAAGTGTATTTCAGCATCAAGGGGTTTGAACTTGCAGCTCACCATATTTGAGGAATGTCAGGTCTTACGTCAGCTGTTGTTTCAGGTTAGGTTGAAGCACAAATGCGTAGGTGGGTGTAGTAGGGTCCTCAGTGGGCTGTGTGCCCTAGTGGTTAGTTTTCACTCAGTCGGGGGGTGATGGTAAGAGAGCTTTTGCTTTCCTATTCCTCTAGACTGACCCAGGGCCCTACAAGAGTCATCAGCATTGGCCTTTGGTAAGAATGGACCCTCTAAGTTTACCCTCCATGGGTTGCTTTCTATCACTGCTCCTGATTCCAGATAAGGAGGAGAAAAGAAAAACTGTCAGCCTGAATTGGACTCACCACATAGACCTGTACTTCAGAGATGCATTTTTAGCCCCTTTTAGAAGGAGTCTGTGGGTTAGGTTAGGTCTGTACTCCTTTCCAGCCTTCAACTTTCTTAGCGGAGTTAGCGTTCTTGTCAACCATGTCTCCAGTTGGAGCATGCACACCTCTACAATGTTTATGGGGCAGGGCTAGCTGAGTCCAGTATTGTCCTCTAACCCTTTATGTTCCAGTGTGGAACATAAAGTAAAAGTTTACACCAAGTAAAAGTTAATGGAGCATAAATTACATCTTGCATGGTACCAAGAAGCTAATTGGAAGGCAGTGCAGTTGAAAACAAGCTTGTGCTTTCTTTGGGAAACCCAGATAAGTAAGCTGATTGTCTCATTTTACATTAACTGAAATTTCCAAATGGTCTTCAAGGGGATCAGTCATTTTATGGAAAATAGCTTGCAGGATGGTGCAGATTCTTACAAGTAATCACCAAAATAAGCCTTTTATATTGTGTGTTCTAAGGATAACTAAAATGTATGATGATGCAATGACAAAATACAAATATTTCCTGTTTTTTTTCTCAATGGCATGATTTTAATAGCACATTAAAATATTAATAAAAATCCCAAACCCTGCAATATTTAAATTCAAGGACACTAGTCCTGATAATTCATCTGTCTAAAAGAGCACTTATGTAAAGCAGTGATTTTGTTAGTTTTTGTAAAAAAATAATTTAAATTAAACTTATTACATTTTCTTAATTTCACACTTAAGTTCTAAGCTTACTATAATTTGTTTAAATGATTTAAATGTATAGTACATTTGCCAATGTTTTAAAGAAAATCACAAATCTTAACAAGTGGAAGTCATCAGATTAACAGCAGTAGCTTCTTCTATAGGTTTAGAAAAAGTATATTCATTTTTTAACTAGTTCAGTTTACTGACTAGTTGATTCCAAGTTAAAAAATCCAGTTGCATGTTGCTAGTGCAGAAAAGCTTGCTTTCTTCATCCAACCAGAATAAAAGCTAGGTTTGAGAAGATGAGATGATCAAGTTTTAAAATGCTAAAGAACAATGGTGACTAGAAAAAAATCATTTCAGTTCACTAGCTTGAGATAATACTGTACTTTGTTTCATCAACATCGGTTTTAAATGCAAAACATAATTTTGATAAACTATTTCGTAGATATCTATGGATTAGATATTAAGATAATTTACTGCTGGGTGCATTCTGTACCAAAAGTGAAAAATTTTGCACACAATATTTTAAACTTTGGCAAAATTAAACACTTTATTTGAATCAGTCGGGGGCCACACACAAATGAGAAATAGAAAAAAAAAAAACTCACTATGCTCCCAATTGAAGAGAAAACCCCTCCCCACATTCCCCTCACACAACAAAGCCCTTCTTAGTAGATGTTGTGAGTTCCACCCCCCAGGGACATAGCAGGGGGGCTGAAGCACCAGCACAGGCTTCCCAATGCTGGTAGGCAGCTGCTGAGCCTTGGGGACCAGATCCTGGCAAACCGGGGGCTGCATATAGCCCCTGAGCTTTAGGTTCCCCACCACTGATCTATAGCGAATGTAGTGAGTTTGTTAGGTCTGAGGAAAAGCTGCTTGCAAAGAACCTTGACATATTGTCAATTATCACCAAAGGCATTTAATATTACAGTGGGCATATACTATACTGAGTAACGTTAAGTTGTTGATATCTATAAGCAAGTTGATCACATGAAATGTAGATGATGGTGTTAGCAAAACATAACATTTTGTTTTATATTATGCCAAAAGTGTCCTTCCTAGTTTGCAGTTAAACAAGGATTTGAGGAAAGCATCATAATTTAGGAGTGGTAATATGGAGCACCAGTAAAAAGTAACCATTATATGAAAAATGTTACTGAAAGGCATTTGCATATACTACCTTGAATCTTTCACACAGCATTATATTACCAAGACAAGAGCATGAGTACTGACCTCATGGCAGATAGTTAGGAATCCGAGCTCAAACCCAAAATTGGCTGTGAGTTCTATGCTAAGGCTATGTCTACATTAGCACTTTTGTCCGCAAACCTATTTTTGATTATAGGTTTGAAAAAATCCCAACAACCTTGGTCACCACAGATTTTACTGATTAAAAGCACCAGTATGGACAGTGCTATGACGGTGGGAGAGTGACTCCTGTAAGCATAGCTTCCGCTGCTTGTTGGGGATGGTTTAGTTATGCTGTGGGTAGGCCATCTCCTGCCACCATAGAACACCTACATAGGAGATCTTACAACAGCACAGTTGCAGGGGTATAGCTTTGTTGCTGTAGTGTAGACACAACCTTAGATTTCAACAACCAGTTATCAAAACTCTTTAAGCACTGCCCTTGCATTTACATGGAATCACAGATAATTCCCATATGTACTCTGTTATCGACTACTGCATAATTTTGTGATCAGTGGTCTCTCTCAAGAATCATAGCAATATTCAAGTGAATCCGAGTCCCAAAGAATCAATTACACTAATTTAGTTGCTCCTTAATTCTCAACAAAGATTATGCTTGCAGCCAATCCTATAATAAACTATATAAAACATATTAAATAGGAAAAAGAAATGTAAAGTGTCCTTTTAAAGGATAAAAGCAGTGAATATACATTAGTGAGGTGAGTTACAATTTTAAGTTTCAAAAGGTAATAGGATTATTTATAATCAGCAGGGGCTGTCTTTTAGGACTAATCCAAGTTAAGCAGATGCAGACCTCTTGCTCATGCCTGGAAGATTCTAGTTAATGGAGTCAAAGAGCATAGATGTAATTGGTTCTTCTTGGTAGGGGTTTTATACCTTTCCTGCCAGGTGCTTGGAGGTGGATGCTCAGCTGATAGGAAAGCCCGCTTGCATGACTCATTGTCACAGGAAGGAAGGCAGTGCAACAAAAGTCTTTATTCTCTTGAGGATTTGTAGGGAGACTTCAGTTGCAGGGTCCTACTGTAGTCTGGTATCAATGGATTTTTCCTTTTGGGAAAGATATAACACTTTTCTGTTGATGATGAGCTCACTAATTAAGGTCTCTCTACTGTCAGGTGATTTTACAGTCACACAGAGCTTCATAGCACAACCTCTGAAACATTAGCTTATAATATTGGATACAGAAACGAGTGATATTAATGTGCACAACAATTCATAAGCATTCATTGAAGTCTAAACACATTCTTATAATGTAAAAAATAGCTATTAGATTGTAACACTCATGAACAAGCCTGACAAAATACATAGCTAAAATCAGTGTCCAATTGAGACACAGGAACCTTGGTATCAGTGGGCATCTCATCTTCCAGCATCACTTGCAGGTCACCTCTAACCAAGTAGTTAAAGAAAAAAGTTATTTTAGGGTTGTCTTTGTCCCAAAATTTTAAATCTAGTTTTAGCATGTATTTTTCTGGCTTTTGTTTTGTGCATAAATCAGATGGTTGTTGTAAACTCTGAAAATACACATTAATTTAGTGTTTCAGGCAATTTCCTTCAATATTTTGGGCAAGTATCATTTAATTAGGCTATACTTTATAGAATTAACTTTTGAATATCATAGGATCTCATTAGTACAGGTTCCCACTTGAGCTCAATGGCACCCCAGTTCCAACCCACCAGCCTTGATTATTTTTGTTGACCATGTATTTATACATAGAAATAATATAGTAGGTGTTTGAAATCAACTGAAAATAACCTTCCTGAATTCTGAGAGTTGTGGATTGGATACGAAGTATTTGCCCTATGCTTTACTATTTTTTGCAGGTGACACCCTAAACATTTACCCTTGTACTTTATTTGTCATTGTTACATTACATTGCTGCTATTCTATCTGTATTTGTTAATATTTTTACTTTATATTGTATTGTCAGTAATTTAGGTTCTTTTCTTTTACTTGTCTTATCTCATATAAGCAATACTGAGTAAAGTTGCTAACTTTCTCTAATTTCTGGTCTTTATTTGAAAAAGCGAGATTTTGATCTTGTGGCAGCCCTTGACTGGGTGAAACGTACAGGGGAGTTCAGTGTTCTACAGAAATTAGAAGAATATGGAAGTTTTTGTCAGCTTTCTCTAGAAGCTTTCTTTGTTGAATGTAAGTATAATCGTTATGACAGGTATTCTGAACAAATATAATTGAATTAGGCTACCCCTTATTGAATTCACTTTTGAATATCATAGGATCTCATTGTGACGGGTTCCCCCTGGGGTGCCACCTGGAACTGGGGCACCACTGAGCTTGTCTGCCCCACCTGCCTCAGTTCCCTTTACACTGTGCTGCTATGACAGACTCTCAATCCTACCTGCAGTATACACAAAGGTAGGGACATACTCAGCTGTAGTTTCACACAGATGCTGAGATGAGCTCTCTATGGGAAAGTTCAGCTAAGGAATTGCCCAGCACTCAAGTGAGTGTAAACTCAAAATTGTATAATCTTGTGCTGCACATAGAAGTATGCAGTCTAAACTCATTGAAATTCACTCTCTCCATTAATGTGGAGGAAGGTGTACACAGCTTTTTCCACCCCAGTTATAAATTCCACAAACTGGTTTTAGAGAAAATAAAAAGAAGTTTATAAGTGTTTATAAGGTTTGCAAACAGATGAAAACAAATTGCTTAGCAAATAAAAGCAACACACAAACTAAGCTTAAGATACTAACTAAAGAAACTGGTTATAAACGGCAATTTCTCCTCCTAAATGTTGTTTTAGGCACACTGCAGAGATTCTTGAAGGTAAGCTGCTCTTTCTTGCAGCTTAAAACCCTAAGCATATTACTCTAGTCCAGGTCCAGCCTTTCTCTCCAGTTCCATCCTTGTTTCCAGGTGCTTCAAAGAGTCTCTTTGGGCATGGAGGCAGCAAAGAATCATGATGTAACTCCACTTAAATAGCTTTTGTATATGGTGGGAACCCTTTGTTTATCAACTTTAGTTCCCATTCTGATAAAACGCTGATATTCCAAGTTTGAGTCCAACGGGTGACAGTACTCCATTGGCCTCCCACCTTTTTACCCCCAAGATCACTTTTTAAATGTCAGAACAAGCCAAGATCTACCACCCCATCCTTCCCCCAACACCACACCCCTTCCTTGAAGCCCTGTCCTCTCTGTTCTCCTCCTCTCCATCACTTGTTATCCCCAGCTCTTATACACTCTCAGAGTACAGGTACACTTCCGCTTTTTTTTATTCTTCTGTAAGAAGGGGTTTTTCTAACATTTGGCTTGTCTAGACTGGGCCAAATGTCAGAAACCCCCCTTCTTTCAGAAGCCCCTTTATTCCTTGTGGCTTAAAGGAATGAGAGAGAGTATGTTTGCTCTTCTGCTAGAAAAAAGCAGAAGAACAAATGCGTCCCTGGACACAGAAGAGTTTTTCTGGGATACCACTGGAATCGCGGGAAAAACTCCTGCAGACTAGCTGTACCCTCACAGATTTGAAACAGGCCGTGTAGGTTCTGGGGTGAGGATGAGGGATTTGGGTGTGGGAATGGGTGAGAGATGTAAGCTCTGGGAGGGAGTTTGGATGCAGAAGGAGGTGGAGAAGGGGATGCTGGCTCGGGGAGGGGGCTCCAGGCAGGGGATTGTTGGGGTCAGGAGTTTGGGTTGGGGTGTGTCAGGGACTTAGGACAGGGATGTTGGGAGTATGATGGGCTCAGGACACAGATTTGCAGTGTGTGGATGGTGCAGAAGTGTTGTGACAGAAGACTGAGGATGTGTGGGGGGGTGCAGAGTTTGGGGATGAGAGGCTCAGGACGGGGTTCCAGTGTATGATAGGCTCAGATTTAGGGTCTGGGGGAGAGGGGGTGCAGGAGTGTTACGATGCTGAGGCCAGATGGGGGCTTGGCCCTAATTGGGGGTTTGTTGGCCAGGTTTCATTTTTAAATAAAATATTATGTCAAATACAAAGTTTCAGCATTGTCTTTATTTATGAGAAAGTTGGGGAACCTGTTTTGAGTCAGGGGTCACTGACCCACAGAGAAGTCAGTCGGGGCCACACAAGTGAGATGTAAAAAAATGGCTCCCCCAAAACCCTCCCCAAGCCTCATTGATGTGGGAGCAGGGGACATGGTACTGGGGAAGGGTGCTAGTGGGTGTGGGGCAGGGAACAGAGTGCTGGAGCAGGGGACAAGGTGCCAGTGGGTGCTGGGACGGGGTGCCATTGGGGACAGGGTTCTGCGGCAGGGGCCAGCGTGCCGCTGGGGCAGGGGACAGGGTGCTGGGGTGAGGACAAGGTGCCAGTGGGGGCAGAGGACAAGGTTCTGCAGCAGAGGACAGGGTGCCAGAGGGGACAGGGTGTTGGTAGGGACAGGGAGTCCCCCTCCCCTCCCA